GAAGAAATGAGGACAAATAATGCAGTAAACAGTATTCCTTAAACCCCGAGACCCACCTGTCTGGACATGGCAGTGAGCCCTGTACCATGTATGGATGCCACAGAGCCCATGGAGGTGACCGTCCTGGCCGACACTTGCGAGGCCTGGGAGGACGGCCGCTCCTCGAACACCCCATCCTCCAGGAGGGGCAACAGCCTCCGTGGTTCATCCTCACCTGGTGGAGGAGTCGAGCCTATGTAAAGGTTAAAAAGAAAATTCAAGTACCAGCTTAAGGGAAAATCACGAAGCAAGGCATATATTAAAGGGACAAGATGAGAGTAATATACAGTATACACAAAACTCTGAACTAATATATTTATAAGTTAATTTTCATATATATATACAAGTTTGTTTCCAATTCCTTACTGCCAGACCTGCTACCTTGTAAAATATATTACCAGATGAGGAATCGGAGACTGTGCGGACCATGACGGCTTTGACTACGCCTTCCTCTCTCAGGGAGTCGAGGCGTCGCCGCTTACTGGGGTCTCTGAGGTCCCTGTTCCCCCGGGGCTCTCGTGAACACCCGTGCACGTCACACTCGCACAAGTGCTCACTCGGTGCCTCAGCCAGGTCTCCAGAATATATATCCGAAGGCAAGTCGGGAAAGTCGCGGGGGCAACACCGAACATCACTTGGGACATCCCTCGATTCCAGATGGTCCCTTAAATCTCGAAGGTTCATTATGTTGTCTTCCGGCTCATCGTCATCCTGTCTGTGACTATATTGTTGACAAGTCTTGTGATAGGAGAGGGCCAGGTGGCGGACCTCCAGGGCTGCCTCTTCCTCCTCATACACGCTATCAACCCGGGAATCTACGCGGGTTTCCACACGCGAATCAACGCGTCCACTGGCCATGGAGGCGACGTCAAAGTCTGAATAGAGGGATTCATGGGCTGGGGCATCTGGTTCCCGTGCCACCACAACGTCCACCTCTGAAGGAGTATGTCGCAAGATGTGTCTTGCCTCCTCCAGACTCGCGCCTCGCAGACGCCGGCCATTCACGTTGATGATCTCGTCCCCGACATGCAGGCGACCATCCCTGTGGACACGCGGCAAGATTAATGTAAGCATATTTCATATAAAATTTACTTATTTACAATTAAAATTTAAATTAGGGTAACCGAACATGGATCAAGCTTAGTAGCATGAGCAAGATACCTATGCAAGATCAATCTACATAATGACTTGCAATCATAATTGTGACTAGGAAATGTTTTGCATAGAAAAATATTTAATATGAGAAAAAATGTATCCTTAAAATTGAATGTAACAAAAATCTAGACACGATTTGATCAAAATTAATTAGGGCGATTGAGGGAAACATCCAGTCTATCCCAGCATCAAACGAGAACATCCATTCTAAAAGATGGCAATGCCACCTAGGTTCCCTCCTCTTACTCTGGCAATATTTCATACATTTAATAATTCCCATTATTGGGGACAAGAAGCCTGTGCAGTACTAAATTTATGACGGTCCCAATAAGTTAATAAGTGACCTTCCCCACAAAGCAACCCTCACCAATGGCCTAACTCCCGAGTAACTGGCTGTGCCAAGGCTGCTCGTTACCAGGCACACGCAGAAAGAACCCTGAGCTCCTGCAGCCTACAATTCCAACTGAGCAAAGTGCACACCAAGCCGGAAACAAAACACGCACAGGTTTAGGCCCAGGTATCCGGAACGCTTAACTTTCGTGACGAATGTGACGGTCAACAATCCGATGACCAAACCACACAACAAAGTGAAGAAACGACATGTCATCTAGCACCCAAATGCTATATTTGCTTGTGGTGGAGGCAGACTATACACGGTTTCAAATTTAGATATTATAGAGCCCAATAGGCCGAGGAACCTATACACCAGCAACCCGTCCTGGACTCAAGTTCATTACATCCAGCGCTCGACCCCCACAGACGCGTTCATAAATTTTAACATGCTGTTCATTCAAAACAGGAATTATCTCAAGTATAAATTAATATTATAATATATTAGCATATTGTGTATATATAGGCATAGGATAGGTTAGGTTAGGTGTTTAGGTTCTGTTGGCGATTATTTGTAGTACGTGGGTGAAGCATTTATAGCGTTGTGATTCGAACAAAATTCGTCAGTGAAGCACTTGTTCCGGATATGTTCGAACGTCAGCAGTTGTGAGTCGTGTGTAAACCGCTTTTCATTCATAAACAGGGGGTTTGGCGGGTGCATGGAATCTCTTTTGGGTCTTTGTTTGGAGGACGGGTTGACACCAGTTGCTTGACAGTCTAGAGGCGGGACCAAAAGATTCGAAGCGTAAACCCGGCAAGCACAATTAGGCAAGTACAAACACGAGCGCGCACATTTCAGGAGGCTAATAGTTCAACCCGTTCTCGCATACAAAGATCCTAGCTCGTTAATCCAGCCGCCAAACTCCCTGTTTATGAATGAAAAGCGGTATACACACGACTCAACTGATTTCGTTCGAACACTTCCGGAACAAGTGCTTCGCTCACATCCTCTGTTCGAACCACAATTCTATAAATGCTTCATCTACGAACCAGCCCGTCCTCCAAACAAAGATCCAAAAGTGATTCCATCCACCCGCCAAACCCCGTTTATGAATGAAAAGCGGTATACACACGACTCAACTGATTTCGTTCGAACACTTCTGGAACAAGTGCTTCACTGACGAGTTTTGTTCGAACCACATCGCTATAAATGCTTCACCCACGTACTACAAATGCAAATAATCGCCAACCGAACCTAAATACCTAACCTAACCTATGCCTATATATGCACAATATGCTAATATATTATAATATTAATTTATACTTTAGAAAATTCCCGCTTTGAATGAACAGCATGTTAAAATTTATGAATGCGTCTGTGGGGTCGACCGCTGGATGTAATGGACTTGAGTCGAGGACGGGTTGTACGAACTTATAAATACGAATAATTACGAACAGAACGTAAACACCTAACCTAACCTACGCCAAACTATACATAAAATTTTTATGTATAAGAATATTAATTTATATATGAGAAACCAAGTTTTAATACACTATGTTAAAATTGCGTCTGGGGAGGACGGCCGCTGCTTTAAACAGCCTGGTGTGAGAACGGGTTGAATAGTTGTGGTGGAATTACAAAGGTGGCCAAACATCTGGAATTTCTCTCATTCGACGCCTGAAAGTTTTTTATTCGAGCATTCAAATTACCATATCTAAAAGAGATCCGATATGTACATACATACATATACACACTTGAAAATTAGCTACTTTTCATCGATATACATAATATAAAACTAGCCTCAACCACCAACCAACAGAGGCAAAAATGGGCCTTTAAACTACGAAAGTCTACACACGAACAAAACATATCATATACGTATACCAACTTCGTACAAAACTGCATTAATATGCAAGATTTCACAGCTCGTAAACACCGGCACAGTACAGTTTAATTACAGCCAGAGTTACCAAAACACACCTAGCAGCCGCAGTCCGCTGACCACTCAGCCCCAGGAAGAGGTCGTTAGAGAAGCCTGTGCTGCCACGGTGACAGACAGCTGGGTAATGAAACCTGGAAGGAGGGGGGGGGACGTTGTTGTTTAGTGTACGGAGGGAATCGAGCGTGTGAAGGAAAATACGTTTATCATATAATATGAATTTATATATGACAACAAATACACAGCACTTGTTTTCTATTTTTGTAATACACAGTACGTTCAAATTTATAAATGTGTCTTGGGGACAGGCAGGGCTTTAACGAGCCTGACCTCGTTAGCTGCTCTCGGGAACACAGTTTCAAAGCGTTAAATATCAAAGAGTACTGGGAAGACGGGACTCCACGAGCGTAGCTCTCATCCTGTAACTACACTTAGGTCATTACACACCTGCACCCAATGCATGCATGAAGGTTTTGAACACACTGTTACTCGCTTTTTTTGTTAACACTGACATCTCTGTATACATACGTGTTAGAAAACTCTTCCGGTCAATGATTTACAAAGCGCAATAATGATGTAAATAACGGAGACTATAGCTAACGAGTCAAAAAAGACAGTGAAGAGGGTCAGTTCAGCATCTGTTGCGGGCTGCATCCTGGGAAAAGGTCAGTAGTAGGCTGGGGTTGGACCTCGATAAACAAGAACGGACTGCCTTCAAAGTGTCTTGGCGCGCTTGGGAAATCTGGACGAGCGCCTCGCCATCAGGTGGTAATGGCAGGCAGTGTGCTGACGCTCGTGCCCAGACGGCACTTGTTTATGGGCCTTTATTATGCCTGGCTCGGTGGACGCCAGGTGAACTGGAGGGGGGTTAGGAGACAGGGATGAGGCAAGACCACATCTGGTACAATACCAGGCATGGGCGACATCTGGTACAATACCAGGCATGGGCGACATCTGGTACAATACCAGGCATGGACAACATCTGGTACAATACTAGGCATGGACAACATCTGGTACAATACCAGGCATGGGCGACATCTGGTACAATACCAGGCATGGACAACATCTGGTACAATACTAGGCATGGACAACATCTGGTACAATACCAGGCATGGGCGACATCTGGTACAATACCAGGCATGGACAACATCTGGTACAATACCAGGCATGGACAACATCTGGTACAATACCAGGCATGGGCGACATTGGTACAATACCAGGCATGGACAACATCTGGAATTATATTATCATGTCAGAGGCATAAACAAATGTATGCTAGGGATATTTTGTGTCCTCTGACTCCCTTGACAGACCATCTGTAATTCCCGTCATCACTTTCTAAAATTATATTACACACGAGAAGCATTGCCTTTATAGGCAGCCGTGTGAATTCCGTCACATGGTATATAGTAATGGGGTTATTCACAATGAATATAGAATTTTCCTTCACATGAATTCAGGTCAGGGGAACTGAACTACTATTGCTCACCTTGCAGCCTATCATCAGGGAGGAGATCCCGAGGGTAATGGATTGAAAATTAATACGTAATTAGTGCTACTATTTACTTTCTATCGACGGTTAGGTTAAGGTAAAGGTTACTTTCGGTTTGTTTAGGCTTCATTACGTTTGGCTATGTTAATATGGTGCATTATTAACGAAAATGTGAAATATAGAATTCGAAAACTATTTGGGTGTACCCGATAATTCCGTTAACAGAAAACCAAATTCTTCAGACCGATTCAAAGAAAACGTGTCCAGTATTTACTTTTTATATTTTACACCAGCGATTTATAATACAATAAAGTTATGACTTGTGAATACTCACTGTTTAGGACAAAGGTTCACTTGCCAGTTTACATGTAGACTATTACTGGAACCGTAATACTCTTTCAGACCATCATAAATATCCAGACAGTTTGAGAGGGAGTTTGGTTTCTCGTGGTCTCTTTTCTTTCTCGTTTAATTTTTCTCCCCAAGCCTGGCTCCGGGCCAGGCTTGGGGAGTAGAACAACTCCCAAAATCTCATCAAGGTATGGAAATAAATTTGCTGAGAATTGACAATACAAATAAAACAAACTCCCCTAGATAAACATCATTTTATGAACAAGGAACCTATCTTCTGCCTGGTGGACGAGCAAGATACAAACACCTACCGGCTATAAATTGCCAGAGTTTACTGAACTTATAAAGGTCATCAAGAATGTCTCGTCGACGAGGTAAATAAAGAAAATGGAACCCCAAACTCTCACGGTATACGCTCAACGCCTCTGCTTGAGATTATGTATGATAGTGGAAGTCATATGATCCTTCTGTATATGCAGATGGCGTCTCCAAACTTGCCGCATCAGTAAACATGGTCACGAGAATGTATATCAGTAAGGCCTTCGTCCTGGGGTTCGTTATCCACAAATACATCGGCTTTCAGTTAAACTATGCAAGTAGTTATATTTTAACATACCTATATTATTATTATTTATATGTATTTTATGAATTTTAGATAATATGTAGGCCTACATAGTGGTGTCATCTGTGTGTTTTATACAAATATTACAGCAAAAATAAGATATATTGTTGCAAATTGCACGGAAACAAAAGCCTAGTCACATACAGGAGCGA